TAATTTTCTCTAAGCTCATTCATGTTGCTGCAATTGGTAGAATTTCATTCTTTTTTATGGCAGAGTAGTATCCCATTGTATATATTTACCACATTTTCCTTATCCAGTCATCTGTCGATAGACGTTTAGGTTGGTTCCAACTCTTGGCTATTGTAGATGGATCTGCGATAAACATGGGAGCATAGGTATCCCTTTGACATGATGATTTCCATTCCTTTAGGTATATAACCAGCACTGGAATTGCTGGATCAATAAGTTTTATTGAATGCCCTGTACATATTCCAGTTTAGTCACCAAGGTCAAAGGACTCAGATCTTGTACCAGCCAGCCCCGAAAAAAAAAAAAAAAAAAAAGCCAAAACAAAAAACCCCAATATATTCCAATTTTGTCTGTTGCCACTTTTTTGTTGATGCTGATATTGATGTTCTTTGTAACATCTTTATAACCCATAAACCCTACAACCTTATAGCACTTTAAAAAATCCTATAGTGCAGGATCCAAGCTAGGATCAGGTATTGCATTTAATTGTCCCTTCTTTTTAGCTTTCTTTAATCTGGAATAAGTTCCTCAGTGCCTTCTACAGCACTGACATTTTTGAAGAATACAGTCCCCCCCCCCCGCTTTTCCCTCATTTTGTGTTTATTTGATGTTTCTTTGTGATTGAAATAATGCTGGGATGCTTCCGAGATGTAGTATCATGCAGTATTGTATAGATGCAGTGTCGTGTCCTTCCCAGGGTATCATGTCTGGAGGTACATACCGTCTGCCTGCCTCTCGGTTCATTTTGATCACCTGGTCAAAGTATTGCCCTATTTCCCTATTGTATAATTACTGCTTTTTATCTCCTTTTACTCTCTCTCAACTCATAAGCACTCTGTAGAGAGATTTTTTTTTTCCTTTTTGTCTTTTTCCATGTCTGGCAACGGATCGCAACCCTCAGTGTCGCCCCCATACCGGACCGGGACCANAAATATGTCTTTTTTTTTTTTTACGTGGCTGGCAGGGATCCATACCTGTGACCTTGGTGTTAGAAGGTTGTGCTCTAATCAACTGAGCTAACCAGCCAGCCTGTGGTATGTCTTTAACCTGGAATTGGTTTTGTGTATGGTGTGAGATAGGGATCTAAGTTTAGTCCCCATATGGCTGACTAATCAGCTCCATTTCTCAAATAGTTCATTTTTTCCCCACTGGTAAGAAGCGTCCACTTCTTCATACATCACATTTCCATTTTTGCTGTGTCTGTTTCAGTACTCTTTATTCTGTTCCTTTGGTCTATTTGTTTATCCCTTTGCTGATACTACAGGGTCTTAATTGCTATCGTTCTATAATAAATGTTGCTATCTGGTAGGGCAAGTCTCCCATCATATTCTTCTCTAAATTGTCAGCCATTCTTGCCATCTGGGCAATTATATTCATTGTCACAGGTAATTTCCACAACAACCTCAAAAGATTAAGCAATTTCTCAAGATCATAAAGTCAGTAAGGAGGATGTTAAACCCATGTCTGCCCAAAGCCAAACGTCTTTCCATCACTTCCCGGAGTTCTGCCTTCCCAAGACCACACGGATGGATTTCAAGGCTTGGAGAGGTGGAGGTCGGGGAATCAAACGTGAGCAGTTGAGAGAAGAGGCAGATTTCAGACTGGTGTGGGTTTGGCCTCTGCAGTATAGACTTTGCCAGCCAAAAGATGGTGTTTGAACTCGTCTGACAGAACTGGAAAGGGAAAATCGGAAGGAATGAGACCGAGAGAATCCCCGTCCTGGGACTGATCCCCCAAAGTGTCCGTGGGCACATCTTGTCACTTTCCCTTCTGAGCATGGCAGTGTGGCAGCAGCCGGAAAGGGGACATGAGGCTGTTTTTGTGCTGCACGTTATGGTGGTGGTATTGGAGGGTCGGGAAGCATGAAGGGAAAAGGATCTGGCTGGCTGCTTGGAAGCCAGGACAGATCTCATCTTAGAGAGGCACAGGAGGGTCTCCCATCCTCCACTAGCCCGCCCCTCCCTGCCTGATTAAGGGACCCTAATCAGCTTGGGGAGATTAAAGTCTCCGGCCTGCTGTTCCCACAGCCCCGCCCTGGTCTGGGCTGGAAGAGGAAACCTGTGGGAGGGCGTCAGAAGGGGGATCGGCCCTGTGACCCCTCAGCCGGGCCCTGGGCCCGAGCCCCGGACTTTCCGGTGAGTGGCAAGGTCCCTCCCTCCCCACGAACTTGGGTACCAACTGGGGGCGTGGGCATGTCCCTATTGACCCCCGACAGCTCTGACGAGGGGGGAGGGGCAGGCAAGGGGTCGGAGTGGGAAGTGGGGAGGTAGGTAGGGGGCTTCCAGGCCGAGCCCTTGGCCCCCATCTAGTCGTCCAAGCCTGCGGATGGGGCGGTGGAAGTGGAGACTCCCCACGGGTTAATGGGACTTCGACAAACAGGGTTGTGGGGAGAGCCCTAAGGGAGTTGGGGGGTCTCAACCGCTCATCCTGCTCGGTCTATGTTCACAGAAACTGGCGATGACCGCCTGCGCCCTCCTAGCGGGTGGGCTTCCGCACCCCCGGCTCTGCGCCCCCGCGCGGTGGGCTCGGTCTCCGCCCGGCGTCCCCCCGGCCCT